AGGCCCATCTCTGGCCTATCGATAATTCTACTGAAATCCCGATAGGAGCCAATCTGACTCCTGGAACTGAGCCCTCTGTCTCTTAACTTCTGGCTGTGTCCTCTGACCCCCTCGATAAGACCTTCTGTCTCCCCCACTGGGAGTGGTCTCCAACTGGGAGCCCTGAGCTATTCTCAGACACCTTACAGCTGTGCACCCCAGATTGCAGGTGTCTAGTAAAACCTCGACACAGGAGTGCTCTGATCCAGAGCTGCAGGAACTAGAGAAAGCCCGCACACACCTATACCATTAGTGTGCTTGTCTCTTACAAAATCTGGCATAAACTGCCTAATTACACAGTCGCATGACCCCACACTGCCACAATATATATATATATATATATATATATACATATATAGTGTTATATATGACTACCATACTGCATTCTCCAATATAATATCAACAGTACATTATGTTGGATCTAGTTTGCTACTGTTCAGCTCATTAGTTCAATGCAAAGACACCTTGGCAGACACCGTGGGTCTATCATACTGTCATACACTATTTCAGAGTTTGAAGGACTTGTACAACTTTGAAACACATCATGGATTTAACCCTGAGTATTTAATTGCACAAATGTTCTTAATCCCAGTTGAGACTGTTGATCAATACCTACTTTGAACCCTGGTATAGGGGCATATTATATGTGCTACAAATTAATCCAGAGTTGGGGTAAACCATTATTTTAAATGAATGCGTTTGCTACTAGGTATCTGAAATACATTAAAGCACAATCACAGCCTTATACTTCTAAAAATGACACTGCACTTGCTGCTGCTTATATATGCTTCTACTGTGGATATGTGCATCATAGCACCATCTGTGTTAAAAGGCTGAGAAAAGGACATGGCATATATTTTGTTTTTTTTTGTCCTTGAAGGATCACATTTGCTGATTACTCAAGTCCTTGGTATTATAATGTGTGGGACATGCATTAGAATCCTGTTACATAGTACATGTGTTAAAGCGGTAATAAACCACATTAAAAAAAAAAAGAAAAAAAAAATCCCCTGCAAGGTAAAGGCATTCTGTGCTAGTACGCATTGCATACTAGCACATTATGAAGGTCTTATCTTAAAACAAAACCCTCCAGCGGAGCACTGTCATGGCTCCCTGTGGCTTCCATCTTCACCCGGTCTTCCTTCCGGGTTCACAAGCTCTGACCATCTGACTGGCCGAGCCGCGATGACGTCACTCCCACGCATGTGCCGGCTATCAAAAAGAACTAATATCTCATAAACGGTGCACATTTAGGAGATATTAATTTTACCTACAGGTAAACTCTATTATAAGCTTACCTGTAGGTAAAATTATTAAGGAAGTATTTATTACCATTTTAACTGTAATGATCATTGTATTTATATAGTGAATTATTTAGGGGCAGTAACCACTGTTGTATTGTGATATATATATATAGTATTTTTACTTTCTAAAATTGGAGTACACAAAAAATATTTAATTGTGTAAGTTATTTATGAACAGTATAAAATGATCATTCCAGTAAGGAGGGTTTATATTTTAACATTCTATAGTGTTACAACATAATTGAGCCTATGGCCATGAAATGAGGTCATGAAGGGAACATGTTTTTTTAATGGGATTCTTTTATATATTATGAAATTTTTATTGTGAGAGAAATAAAAGATTTGGGTATTAGAGAAAACCTTTTTCTGTATATATTGTTAGATTCTGTGATTTTTTTTTTTTGAGTGCTATGTTTGTAATAATTAGTTAAATTTAGGTCCATATCAATCTTAAAATGATTTTCCTAACTTGTTTCTAATGGTATTGTTTGTAACCAGTAGACCCTGGACTGCATTTTTGTGGTAGAATTAGAGCCTTTCTCTTTCAGCTCAAATTTAAAGGAGAAGCGGGGCCAAAGCTCTTTTGGTTCTACTTCTTCTGGGAATCACAGAAGTGCACTTCGTTCTACACTCCTGTGACCAGTTTTCAGCTGTCAGCGGGTTAAAGTCTGCTGTTGCTTGCAGGGGAGGACTGACAACTCATGGGGCCCCCAGGCAATAGGGGATCATGGGGCCCCTGTGTCCTTGCCCACACTCAAAAAAGCCTATAAAAAAGGTACCAGGGGCATTTCATAGGGCCCCCTACTGACCCCGGGCCCTCGGGCAGTGCCTGAGTGCTCGAATGGTCAGTCCGCCCCTGGTTGCTTGACATCACAGGTCTTGTCCAGACTCTGGAGAGATCCCAACTTTAAAGTTAGGATTAACCCAGATTCCTGGCCAGCAGCTGGGTCACCCTTTCAGCAAGCCACTGAGAGCCTGGGCCAGCTGCCCCCACCCCTTCCACAGCCCAGCGCTCCAGTGAGTGCTAAAGGGGCAGAGTAGAAGAACTGAGCGATCAGTGGTCTTGTGGTCTTTGATAGTTCGGTTCTTGATCTAGAAGCAGCAGGGGGCAGATGCAGCATCACACTGATGCTACATCTACCTAGGTGAGTAAAAATGTTTTTTTTTTTTAATTCCAAAACTTTTCTTTTAACAGTAAGCCAGTAAAAAATTCTATTATTCCCATTTTTCTATTTTTGTGTTAATGGTATTATTTTTTATTTTACCCATACTTCTTTGGTTTTATTTTTTATTTTGCCCATAGTTACACTTTAGTAGTTTTGGAAGGAGGGCTTAAAGTGTATTTTACCCTAACTATAAATTTTTAGCCACATGCGTGTTTGTCCACAAATATATTTCTTATTGTAATCTGCTTAAAGTGTCTAAAAACAGAAGGATGAAAGCGCACATCAGGAAGTTGCCATGTTCACAATGTTATCAGAAAGGCTTCAGCTTTGCTTCCTCCCAAGCCACACCCCTCTCATGGGTTTAGTGACAGAGTAGCATTCTGTGTGTTGCCTCCTTTCATGTCAACTACCTGGTTGATTCTGCCAGTCCCCCAGGTTTTCCTAATGTAAACTAACCAGGGAAAGTTAAAAAACACATCCGTGCCTCTGTGGTCAGCTCGCATTCATTGGCTTGCTGTCTGGAGGCACAGGATGCTGTGCCCACACTCAGTGTGCCTGCATATCCTGTAGTCTGTTTGCCCACAATGCCCCCCCTAGTACAGTCCTGCCTGGTTGATTGATGGGGCTCTTGGTTGGAGCCTCGCTGTTAAACTGTATTTTGTAGCGTTGTCAGCCTATAGGAGGAGTATGAGTGCTGAAAGGCAATGCCTTCTGTATTGTAGATTCAGCCCTTGATATGTAGTGTACACAGTGGGGAATGTGCTCCACTCTGTGTGTGTGACAAAATATACTGCCCACCCCCCCTGCTGTCACATGCCTGCAAGAAAAAACTACAAGAAAAGATACTTTGCAGTTTACCTTTTTTAAATACTTTTTGTATACTGTAATAGTGTTGCAGGCAGGGTTTAAAGCTGAACTGCAGGCAAGAGTTCTCTTACCTTCCTGTATATTTCAGAAATATAAAGCAGAACAGTGAACTGAGAAAATCTCCCACTTCTTGTTTAATTGATGGGTGTCAGACAGTGTCAGCAAGAACAATATATTTTCTAGTGGAAACAGGAAGGTTAAGATGTTCTGACAGGATTTTTGTTGCCTTTGTCCCCATTGGACTACTTCCCTTCACTTCCTGTCCAGATAACAGGTGGGACAGACCTAAAAGAGTAAAGAAATATTCTCTGTGGGGACACAGAAAGCATTTATAGCCTCACAGCAAAATCTTCTCCATGAGGACATAGACTACATTTAAAATCTGACAATTAATTTCATATCAAATTGAGTTGGTAGAAAATTAGAATATAGAGATATTTGTGGGTACGGGTTAAACTATTATATATACAAGCTTTGGGAACGATAATAAGTACTTTACTAAGCACTGTTTGTAGATAACGGTATGTGCACACAGGGGTATAGCTACATCTTTACTGCTTTTCAGTGCATTTGTTTTCTGGCAGAGCTGCAGAGTAATCCCCATGGGCATATTGTGTGTGCATGCTTGCTCACAGCTCACAACACATGTGAGGTTAGGCTTTGATGGAAGCATATACTATCATGTGCTGTGTACTAATTCCTGTTCAACAAATCAAGAGCTTTTGTGTCACTTCCTTAGGGTGCCATATGGAAATTGGAAAATGGTTGCTTACATCCAAACCTAATAAAACAAGTGATTTACTTAAACTGTAGCTATTTTGTTAAATCCTATTTATAGCACTAAGATATATATCTGCGATCATCCATACATCAGTTCTTTGTTCCTTTTGGTTAGCTAGCATATCATAGACTAGTGTTTCTCAAGTAATGGGTCATGACCCAAAAGTGGGTCATGACCAGGGATGGACTGGGCCGTGGGGCAAGTGCCCTCCAGGCCTCTCCAATGCCTCTATCATCACCCCAAACTTTGAGACAGTTATCAGAAGCAAGAGGCATCCCTAGTTTTCCCAATAGTTCTAATTTATGCCATTTGTTTCAATTACCGTTCATTTTATTGTTTTTTTTACCTAACAGCACTTTCATTTTCACTAGTGCTGTGATTACTGCACTATCCATTCTGGAAGGAAACTGTTTCCTGTTTAATACATGCATATACATTGTAGAATACTGCACAAGTTGTTTTGTGGAATAAATAATAAATGTTTAGGAAATTTAATTATTTTTGGGTAGTGACTTAATGACCAAGGACATATGTGGGTCCTGAGGTTCCATAGGTTGAGAACCGCTGTCATCGACAAACAGGTCTGAACCAGAGAAAAAATCAGCTTACTAATGATGATTTGAAGCTTCCACCTCTTGCATAAGCTGCACTATAAAACAGAATGATTTAGAGACAGGCACAAAGGGGTTGATTTACTAAAGGCTAATAGGTAGAGATGAGCGAAGTATTCAAAAATTCGATTCGGCTGTATCGGCGAATTCGAGGAATAAATTCGATTCGAGGCGAATATATTCGCTGCGAATTTAACTTATAAAAAGGGTGTTTCTAGGCTTCAGAGAGCCTTTATATTAGTGCAGAACACTGTACCTTTAATTTAAATGCCCTTGGAGTCTGCTGGGGAAGAGAAATAATACTGTCAGTCAGTATGACATGCAGATGAGTGCCGTCGATCTTAGAATCACCGCACACTTCACTCATTTGGGCAGTCACGGGGCCAAAACCAGAGTGTGGAGCCACAGTGTGGCGGTGGAGGCAGCAGCAATGGGAGGCCATACAGCACCCTATGACAAAATGGAACCCACCAGCAGTGTGAGGAGACCTGAAAGTGGCACATGGCAGAGTGTGGCGATGGAGACAGCAGCAATGGGAGGCCGTACAGGGACCCATGAGACACTCTGGACCTGGCCACAGCTTGAGGAGGCGGTACGGGGGCCCATGGCAGATTACGGGCCTGGCAGCAGCAATGGGAGGCCCGTAATCTGCCAGCACCCTATGACAAAATGGAACCCACCAGCAGTGTGAGGAGACCTGAAAGTGGCACATGGCAGAGTGTGGCGATGGAGACAGCAGCAATGGGAGGCCGTACAGGGACCCATGACACACTCTGGACCTGGCAGCAGCATGAGGAGGCGGTACAGGAGCCCATGACAGATTACGGGCCTGGCAGCAGCAATGGGAGGCCCGTAATCTGCCAGCACCCTATGACAAAATGGAACCCACCAGCAGTGTGAGGAGACCTGAAAGTGGCACATGGCAGAGTGTGGCGATGGAGACAGCAGCAATGGAGGCCGTACAGGGACCCATGAGACACTCTGGACCTGGCAGCAGCAAGAGGAGGCGGTACAGGGGCCCATGGCAGAGTGGCGAAGCGTAAGCAGCTTAAATTGAAGGCCATACAGAGGCCTATGTTAATAATAATAACATGTTTGGGGCATGATTCATGGCGGATTTAGTCAGTTGTGTCAGGAACTGGTGGTTTGAAATCCAGACTAATCCACGCCTGATTCATTTTCACAAACGTGAGTCTCTCCACACTTTGGGTGGACAGTCGTGTCCTCCGCGGAGTTACAATACCTCCTGCCGCACTAAACACGCGCTCCAATGCCACGCGTACTGGCCGGGCATGACAGCCTTTCAAGGGCAAATTCAGCTAGTTGGGGCCAAAGGTCAAGTTTCGTTGCCCAGTAGTCAAGGGGATTGTCTACCTCGGTTGGCAGGGTGCTGTCCAAGTAGGCCCAAGCCTGTTGTTTGAGGTCCTGCTCCAGGTCCACCTGATGCTGCTGCTGCTGCGGCTGGTTAGTAGTTTCCTCACTGTGCTGGTGAAGAAAGCTACTCATCATCGACTGCAGACTGAGGCAGCCGCTGCTGGTGGAGCTGCCACTGCCTCCAACCCGACCCCCCACACCCCTCCCCCTGCCTGCCATGGCAGCGGAACGCGAGCGCACAGTCAGAGACCAACTGACTACATAGGTGGGTTTTTATAGTACTTAATTTGGCCTCCCTCTCAGCAGGTTGTGAAAAAGGCCACCATTTTGGAACGGTAGCGAGGGTCCAACAAGGTGGACAGCCAAAAGTCATCCCTCTGTCTGATGTTTATTATTCGGCTGTTGCTACGCAAGCAACGTCGAGCATGCTATGGGCCATTTGTGCCAAGGAATGCGAGGGACTGCCTGCCTCCATCTCCACAGCATACTGCCCACGGGGAGGCGTCTGGGTCCATCTGTCTCCTCCTCCTCCTCCTCTACCGATGCTCCTGCTCCTTCCACGCCTGTCCGCTAAGTGTAAAAACCACCCATTTCACTCAATAATTCCTGAGCACCAATGTCCACCCTCTACCGTCCTCCTCTTCTTTCCTGTCCTGGCCCCCTACAGGTGTCATGTGTGCGATTGAGATCTGTGGCTGCAACGTCTACCGCACCCTGACCAGCCATTGTTAACGAGCATGTGTTCCAGGGTCGTGCAACAGAGGAATGACGTGTTTCATCCCATAGTCCTGCCGACTCACGCATATCGTGGCCTCCTCAAAGGTCCTTAGCAGTGGGGGCAGGTGTCACGCATCGAGCTGCCAATGGCCGACATCTAAGTTTACACAGGGGAGTACCTTTATCCGCTTGTAACCATCATGAAATTCGGTGATGGCCATTCGCTGTCGTAAAGGCGGTCTAACATATGTAGGGTTGAATTCCACCTTGTTGCAACTCGCAGATTAGGCTATGCTGTGGAATTCCGATCTGGCCGCTGCAGTCTCAGAAGGGTGTGCTTTGCGGTGTTGGAATGGCAATGCAAAGTTTACGTGACATTTTAAGGAATTTCTTGCAGTGGGATGGTGGATTTTAGGAACCGCTTGACAACCAGATTGAAACACCTAGCCATGTCATGGCGCATGGCACAACCTTCCTTGACGCAGAGCAGACACCAAGTTTCTTCCGTTGTCGGTCAACATGGTTTCCGATTTTCAGTTTGCGCGGAGACGAGCCATCTTCGATTTTCTTTTTCATTACACTCAGAAGTTCCCCCCCTGTGTGACAACTTTTCCCAAAGGGATACCCGGGCAGCACAAGGGGGTGGGGAAAACCCTTGCGCCCCGCACATGTGATTTTTGCCGGGGGGTAAAAAGGGACTTGGCACGGGGGTGGGGGGCTTTAGGACAAAAGGCGGAAGAAGAGGGGGTAGACCCGGGCATCTTTTTTGGACCAAGGCGTTTCAAACGGGAGGGAAAAAGCCCCCGTGACCTGTCCCAAATTGCTGGGGGGCGTGCCGGCCCCCCAAAACGTTCACCCCCGTGGGCCGAAATGACATGTACTGTCCCCGACCGTAGTTTCAAACTCGAAAAACGTCGGCGGGTGCCGGCCCCTTTGGGGAAGGGCCCACATGCTCAAAGACTGGCCCACCAAACTCTTCTACAAAGTGAAAAGCAGGGGGTGGCACTGGGCCTTTTTTGGGAAGAAAAAGCCGGCTTTGGGACTCTCCATCGCGGTGC